GGGACCGCACTGTAGAACAAAGACTACGCCCCCTCTTGCGCTCACTGACCCTTGTAGGCTATCCCATACTAGTCAGGTACCGGTACATCAGGACAACGACACACGTAAAATATGTCAACTGTAAGTTACGCAGACAGACAAGAGCGAGCCCAGTATTCGCCTGCACCTGCAAATCACCCGTTTGAACGCCCCGCATTTGACAAGCATTAGTGAAGCTCAACAGACCGAATAATATAAACGACTTAAGCGACATGGGCTGAAAGGAGCCTTGTCCTGCATATGGACCGACACGACCATAGCCTTTCTAGAAGATCGCAACTCAATTACAGGTGCTGGTTCACAATGCTATTAGACATTCCCGAGAATTTCTGATGGACAACTTTACATGATCAGCGGCTTGCTGTGTGTCTTTTGAGAAACCTTCAAATTTCCGTATGGAAGCCTTGGGTCTAGGACAGATAGCGACGAAGAAGAAGGTACAGTCTTCTATACCTAACTCGACCTGCCCTTGCGCACCCGGCGTAGCTGTGTTACGGCGATCCAACAATAGAAAACTAGATTGAGCAGAGTCCGTATTCGTCTTGCCTTTGATGAGGAAAACTGCGTGAGGACTTGCTGTACTGTTGAAAGGAACCTAATCAAAGAACATTCTACTTTTGAGATCAGCCGTTAGCCGAGAAATTACCTATTTGAGTTAGAAAACACAGTTTTGAATGGAGCACATTCAACTCGAAATATCAACTAAGGAGATCAAAAATAGCAAGAGTAGCAAACAGCGTGAAGACCTCATTGGTCCAGCGGCTTTTTTGTTTTCGGTACCCGGAAAGACCGAAATTCCAACTACCACTGGAAAGACAATTACTATCCGCCTAAACAATTCAGGACATCTTCCTGTGAGGCTAACGTTGGCAGCGAAATCCAAACCTTCACAATGTCAACATCAGAGCCACGTATAAGATCGAAACATTGAAGATCTCGATAAGCCAGAGCAATTTTTCTACCATTTGATGAAAAATGGAGAAATTACGGATGACTGAGTACAGAGACCACGGTGTAAAACCCTTCAAATAGATAAAGACTCATGATACTTTCCTGGGGAGGTCCCTCCGACATATGGTATCGGGTACATGATAGAGCAGCAACCACTGTAGCAGTGCGTCACACAGCCAGGGCTCAAAACCGAGATAGCAATGGAAAAAGAAGTTGGAGTCCGGTCAAGGACAAAAATAGCGGCCGTTCGGTACCGGTTGTTTAAGAAGGCTGATCAGATCATCATTTCTAATTCATTGAGGGGGTAGCAGTTACAGGTATATACGACACTGAAGGTGAAGCACATCACATAGCATCATAGGTGCTAATCTGGTATAAATACAATGTTTTATCATTATTAACCGTACAACAGCAAAACTCGAACGAGAAACACTCGTGCACTTCAAATATTAATACGGCAGTCGTATTGAATCTAAACACCTTAGCAACAGTATAAGATCATGAGTTATCGTATACTCTGATGCTCAGCTTCCTTTTTCTGTACTCTCGTGGTTCCTTAGGTAGAGCGTCTACAACACGTGGAGACAAAAGAGTGGTGTGTACTTTAGGAGTCTTCAAAATAAATGTCAGCAGAATCAAAGGAAGTAAGAGAGCGAGTCCACAAACCTCTGTACCAGTCAATTCCTCAACTACTGTTTTTCCATCACGACGCGTCAAGACAGCCATTTCCACTTAAATGTGAAGAAAATTTACATAGAGTACTTCACATCGGAAAGTGCCAAAGTTCGATTACCACAAAATAAGGATAGCTCACATGATAGACATGTATAAGGAACATGAGCGAATAAGATGCGTCTGAGTAGATGTCCTTATCAAAGAAAGTCGGGGGATGAACGATGTACCATGGAATTGACAAATTTACGGCAGCGCGCGTTCTGGTATTCAGACCTTGGGAGGGATCTTGCGACCAGAGTCAACTTGTCTAGCATCCGTGGGTTTCGATTGGCAGTAGGCAGCAAATGGATTGGAAGCAAAAACATTCTAATAGAGGTACTTGAAATAAGAGCAGTTGAGATCATGAATGGGAGTGAATGGCAAGTGAAAAATCAAAACAAATTATCATTGCATGGTGAATGCAAAAGCACGCTGCGCCCAGTGATTGCATTCAAATTGATAACCCGAACTATCGATATAGTATTTATACAGATTGAGTGGATCTACCTACTCATGCCATAAAAAGAAAAAACAAAATCTCAATGAACCATGAAAATTTGAACCCAGAAAACCATGTTCGATGTCGAAACAACATCTGTCCTTCTGCCAAACACGTCATAACAGTTTTATCTTTAGCGATTGAGCGGATCAATAGGAATGCCATTAGAGAAAAAAGTTCGTGCCAAAAAGGACGAAATGGAGCGTAAACTGCATGGCGCGTATGTGAAGAAGAGTTTTCTACAAGCCGTTTATTTTCGCGGAGAAATCATGTCAGATGATTTACGTTGAGAAATACCATCTGCCCTTTCACTTAGAAATACTTTCAATTGAGTTCTTAGCAATAGAGAATTTGAATTCTTTTCACCAAAAAATACCTTTCTCATTTGTCAGTTTGACGTCAAGAGTCTTCCATAAAACCTTAACAGCCAACTTTTTCGCCTCTGCAAGGGTTGGGCTCTTATATTCCTGTTTCAACAAAGACATAGCAGCCTGTAAAAAAAATCTGCTCGAAAACACTTCTATTGATGCTAAGGATATAAATTAAGTACCTGGTGATTGTTGCCGATGCACGTCGCCTTCCAACCAGTGTAATTTCCAGATGGATCGGACTGGTAAAGTTGGTATCCGTAATGCTTGTCCCATCCCATGTAAAGAAGAGACACACCGAATGGTCGCTTTCCTAAACAGGATAACTTCCAAAGCAACGACAATTGTGAAATGGTGATATTGCAGCAGAAATGTGTGAGGAAGAATTGAAGGCGTAAGAGCTCTAATCTATACCTACCTCCAATTTGAGTGTATCGCTGCTTCTCGTTGCAGAGATTTTGTACCAGTTGCTCGACTGGCATCTCTTCTCCGTATGATAGTTTATACTGTGCAGCCCACCTAAGACAAGGCGCTTTTGAAGAACATCCTAGTATGAATATTAGCAGCACCAATTACACTTGAATCTCACCATCTAAGATGGTTGATAAGAATGTTAGCATCGGCAGTAATTCCAGCGACCGTACATGTGATATTTTCCGAGAGTCGATAGATTTTCTCGGCAAGAACCTGTAATGAGAGGGAAACATATAAACAGATTTCATTGCATTCTTGAGATATGCATAGAAAACAGATTGGCACGTTAAAAATGGAGCTCATATTCG